TTTAATTTTATTTAAACTATTTTAATTCGGTTTTTTCAAATTGAAATTTCATTAATTAGTTCTGATGGCATTAAAGTTTACCCACAAAATTTTAAATTAGTGAAATATCAGTTGCAATTTCTAAATACAAACACAGAATTATTACCAATAATCTTGTAAAATTGTTTTTTATGTAAGGTATATATGCTGAACACTAATTTATTTACTTTCAAAAAACATCTAATGGCAACATTCTAGATTCATGAGCTAATAATTGGTCTTCTCTTACTTGTTAGTCTAAAAATGACCAGAGAATGTTATAAATAAAATTTGGCTGTTTGCGTGACAAAATTTAATATAAACTTGGAAATTATTTTTTTTTAGCGGCGTTAGAAATCCAACAGAATCATTCAATTTTTCAATGTTTAGTACATAAATGAAAACCTTTAAAAACTTCATTATTATTTACGGAGTTAAAGATCGCAGACGATGATGTTAATTGTAAATTTATTAATTATAAAAAGTTACATTAACAGAATCATTCGACTGCAATTAGCAGGCGGTGGTCAAACCGTTAGCCGATGTTTCTGGGGAATGCGAGATCGAATCCGCATGGGCAAAGATTAGAAGTAATTGAAAACTTGCAATTCATTCATACATTAAGTCAAAAATGAAGCGGCCGGATGGCCAAGCGGTCAAGGTGGCAGCCTACCGCTTTGGTGACCCGGGTTCGAAACCGAACGAGTCGAAAAATCCCCAGGAATATTTCGGGGGGTGGTCTGTTCTGATATGTCGAGTCCCGTCCCTCACCACCTGGCAGCCCCACTGTGGGCCTGGCCGAACCGATAATGGGCTTGCAAAAAGAGGCCCTCTTAGTGCCCACGGGGCGGAAAGAGTAAAAAACAAAGTCAAAAATGGATTTTAAAGTATCCAAAATGAAAGTAAAGTAATCAGAATAAAATCTAAATATGTTCGTTGCAAACAGCACTATTCTGATAGATTAACATTGTATGCTTGCACATCCCCAAAGAGGTAAAAAATGGTCATATCTATTAGTTAATTTGTTACCATTGGAGAATAAACTTAAGCTGGAAAAGATAGATGTGAAAAAAACTTAAATAAACTGGGAATAAGAGATATAACCATGTTGGCGCCTCGTGTTAATTAATATCATTAAACGCATCTACTAACTTAAGGTAGTTATTTATATTTGGGCTTATCAAACCAGTGAATATGAATACAAGATTCCTTAAATTTAATATATATATAAACATTTCAAAAAGATTTACAATAATTAAAACGGTAAATGTTACCTATGGTGACTAAAATGGTGGTGCTTCGGTTATGTTCGTTTCCGTTAGATTAACTATATTTTTTGTAGACGTTTCCTCTTTTTTTTTTTACTTTGTTCAAGAACTATCGTGAATCAATAACTAGTGACGTTAAACACACGGCTGCCTCTGTCTGCGACTCCCCAACGAGAGGTCAGTCGGAAGCGCGGCCAGTTTAGTCACCATAAATAACATTAACGATTAAAACTTTCAATATGTACAAAATATGTAAAATACGCCCAAAATGCATTTCGGACTTTACAATAGTACCTCGTCAGTTGGTGTTTTAATTAAACACATGAGAAAGTATACACAAAAGTTAGACTATACTAAAAGGCCGTAATAACGACGTAGACGAACACAATTAAGAAATTGGTGCTATCTCACAAGTGCTGTATAACTCTATACTTTCACAATACTGTAAAGCCAGCAGCAAGGAGTTCTAACACAATTAATCATAATGAGTTACAGATACTATTATTTAGGTATAAACCAGTAGAGTAATGGAAATGATACTTACAATTGATATTTCTGAAGGATTGACTGAAAAATTACACAAAACAAAAAAGAAGAAAATCAACGTACTCATACAGTCAAATTCCATAGTAGCAGCGATATCAGTGCAAATATTTGCATATTTAAACACCATTTTACGTCACCGGGTTTACGTCATAAATCTATTTTTATCAACATAATCTATTTTTACACCTAAATTGTCATTAATTCTTTTTTCCTTTATAACTTTTATGTATACTTTCTCACGTGTTTAATTAAAATACCAACTAAAGAGTGACTATTTTAATTAAAGTCCGAAATGCATCTTGGGCGTATTTTACATATTTTGTACATATTGAAAGTTTTAATTATTGTAAATCTCCTTTTGAAAATTTATATAAATATTAAATTTAAGAACTCCTGTTCACGTTCACTGGTTTGATAAGCCTTAATGTAAATAACTACCTTAAGTTACTGTAGTATATACATTTAGTTAATAATAGTAAGGGCAAAAAGCAATACGTTAATTAATATCTCAGTTCACATATACTGCACAGACAATTTAAAAATGTTTTTAGATTAAATTCTTAGATTACAAAGACAAGGGGCTATCCATAAATTACGGCCGCATTTTTCGCAATTTTTATTTCCCCCTCCCATTGTCCCAGTTTCTCTAGTTTCTGTAACCCCTCCCCACTTCGGACGTCCAGCGAAACTCAATCCCTTTCAAAATCTGTACGACTTTATGAATAATAAGGTGCATAATTTGTGTAAAATTTAATGAAATAAAATAGACGTCCACTGAAGCTCGACGCGACCCTCCCCCTTATACGATTTGTTATAACCCTTTCCTCTCAGTAGACGTCATTTATGGATAGTCCCAAATAGTCTGTATGATTTGTATAATGTAAGCTATACAACATTTTCAAATTACATACGAAAGCATACGTGTCGCAAACGATAAAGCTTTATTTTCGAAGTGTTTAAACAATTGAAGTGATGATAAGTGATAAGTGAGAAGGAAATATCAAATCGCACGAAGTACGAAATCTTATTTCGGTTAACAAAGAACGTTTGAATTATCATTTCCACGTTTTCTCCAATGAAATAGTCTCTACGTTGCAACATTTCTTTTTCGTAGCGACTTTTTCGGTCGCTGCCTCGAAGTTTCCGGTGACGTAATTCCGTTTGTTTCCGACCCGCCTCGGTACATATTGCTTTTACTTCTGCGCCCGTAAATTCACCTTCTTTCCAAAAGTAAGATCTCGATCCTAACTTTCGATAAAGAATGAAATAAATTCAATTATGACAAAAGAATTAAAAGTATTCTTTGATAAAATCGATTTGTTTAAAAATATTTAATTATTAATTAAAACAACATTCCAAATTTTTTAGTATATTTAATAAGAATATTCGTCTTAAAATTCCTAAAAGTGTATTTTTGTAAATGTAATTAGTCTAATTAATTATTAATCAGATCTAACAAACATAATATAATGGATGTAACTTGAAGCAATGGACTCTTATTTTTAACTTTTTTTTTATTCCGTGGATACTAGTAGGGCCTTTTTCCATACCCATGGTTGAGTTGGGTTAATTCCATAATGGGAGTGGCAGAATCGAAGAGGGGTGCGGAACATTAAAAACTCCCGAATCTTTGCCCATGAGGATTCGATATCGCATTCCCCAGAAACATCGGCTAACGGTTTAAACGCCTTCTGTTAATTGCAGTCGAATGATTCTGTTAATGTAACTTTTTATAATTAATAAATTTACAATTAACATCATCGTATGCGATTTTTAACTCCGTAAATAATAAGGAAGTTTTTAAAGGTTTTCATTTATGTACTAAACATTGAAAAATTGAATGATTCTGTTGGATTTTTAACGCCGCTAAAAAAAAGAAATAATTTCCAGGTTTACATTAAATTTTGTCACGCAGTCAAATTTTATTTATAACATTCTCTGGTCATTTTTAGACTAACAAGTAAGNTACAAACACAGAATTATTACCAATAATCTTGTAAAATTGTTTTTTATGTAAGGTATATATGCTGAACACTAATTTATTTACTTTCAAAAAACATCTAATGGCAACATTCTAGATTCATGAGCTAATAATTGGTCTTCTCTTACTTGTTAGTCTAAAAATGACCAGAGAATGTTATAAATAAAATTTGGCTGTTTGCGTGACAAAATTTAATATAAACTTGGAAATTATTTTTTTTAGCGGCGTTAGAAATCCAACAGAATCATTCAATTTTTCAATGTTTAGTACATAAATGAAAACCTTTAAAAACTTCATTATTATTTACGGAGTTAAAGATCGCAGACGATGATGTTAATTGTAAATTTATTAATTATAAAAAGTTACATTAACAGAATCATTCGACTGCAATTAGCAGGCGGTGGTCAAACCGTTAGCCGATGTTTCTGGGGAATGCGAGATCGAATCCGCATGGGCAAAGATTAGAAGTAATTGAAAACTTGCAATTCATTCATACATTAAGTCAAAAATGAAGCGGCCGGATGGCCAAGCGGTCAAGGTGGCAGCCTACCGCTTTGGTGACCCGGGTTCGAAACCGAACGAGTCGAAAAATCCCCAGGAATATTTCGGGGGGTGGTCTGTTCTGATATGTCGAGTCCCGTTCCTCACCACCTGGCAGCCCCACTGTGGGCCTGGCCGAACCGATAATGGGCTTGCAAAAAGAGGCCCTCTTAGTGCCCACGGGGCGGAAAGAGTAAAAAACAAAGTCAAAAATGGATTTTAAAGTATCCGAAATGAAAGTAAAGTAATCAGAATAAAATCTAAATATGTTCGTTGCAAACAGCACTATTCTGATAGATTAACATTGTATGCTTGCACATCCCCAAAGAGGTAAAAAATGGTCATATCTATTAGTTAATTTGTTACCATTGGAGAATAAACTTAAGCTGGAAAAGATAGATGTGAAAAATCTTTTAAATAAACTGGGAATAAGCGATATAACAATGTTGGCGCCTCGTGTTAATTAATATCATTAAACGCATCTACTAACTTAAGGTAGTTATTTATATTTGGGCTTATCAAACCAGTGAATATGAATACAAGATTTCTTAAATTTAATATATATATAAACATTGCAAAAAGATTTACAATAATTAAAACGGTAAATGTTACCTATGGTGACTAAAATGGTGGTGCTTTGGTTATGTTCGTTTCCGTTAGATTAACTATATTTTTTGTAGACGTTTCCTCTTTTTTTTTTTTTTTACTTTGTTCAAGAACTATCGTGAATCAATAACTAGTGACGTTAAACACACGGCGGCCTCTGTCTGTGACTCCCCAACGAGAGGTCAGTCGGAAGCGCGGCCAGTTTAGTCACCATAAATAACATTTACGATTAAAACTTTCAATATGTACAAAATATGTAAAATACGCCCAAAATGCATTTCGGACTTTACAATAGTCCCTCATCAGTTGGTGTTTTAATTAAACACATGAGAAAGTATAAACAAAAGTTAGACCAGTGTTTCTCAACGGGGGCGATATCGCCCCATGTGGGCGTTTTTCCATGTTGAGGGGAGATTAGTAACAATTTATATTTTGGGGGCGAAAAACAATTTTCTGGGCGATATAGTAAAACATTATATTAGGAATAATTAGATATTTTATTCGTTATATCGTACAATAATTAAACAAATAACATTATACTAGTTACTAGTCTATTCAATGCAATACGAATTTGGCGTTAGTCTTGGTCCTCAGCATCGGAATTTTGAAGTGAAGGGGGCGATAATAGGTAACGGTTTTATTGAAGGGGGCGATACTACGTTGAAGAGGGCGACGATTCGTTAGAGGTTGAGAAACACTGAGTTAGACTATACTAAAAGGCCGTAATAACGACGGAGACGAACACAATTAAGAAATTGGTGCTATCTCACAAGTGCTGTATAACTCTATACTTTCACAATACTGTAAAGCCAGCAGCAAGGAGTTCTAACACAATTAATCATAATGAGTTACAGATACTATTATTTAGGTATAAACCAGTAGAGTAATGGAAATGATACTTACAATTGATGTTTCTGAAGGATTGACTGAAAAATTACACAAAACAAAAAAGAAGAAAATCAACGTACTCATACAGTCAAATTCAGTAGCAGCGATATCAGTGCAAATATTTGCATATTTAAACACCATTTTACGTCACCGGGTTTACGTCATAAATCTATTTTTATCAACATAATCTATTTTTACACCTAAATTGTCATTAATTCTTTTTTCCTTTATAACTTTTATGTATACTTTCTCACGTGTTTAATTAAAATACCAACTAAAGAGTGACTATTTTAATTAAAGTCCGAAATGCATCTTGGGCGTATTTTACATATTTTGTACATATTGAAAGTTTTAATTATTGTAAATCTCCTTTTGAAAATTTATATAAATATTAAATTTAAGAACTCTTGTGTTCACGTTCACTGGTTTCATAAGCCTTAATGTAAATAACTACCTTAAGTTACTGTAGTATATACATTTAGTTAATAATAGTAAGGGCAAAAAGCAATACGTTAATTAATATCTCAATTCACATATACTGCACAGACAATTTAAAAATGTTTTTAGATTAAATTCTTAGATTACAAAGACAAGGGGCTATCCATAAATTACGTCCGCATTTTTCGCAATTTTTATTTCCCCCTCTCCCATTGTCCCAGTTTCTCTAGTTTCTGTAACCCCTCCCCACTTCGGACGTCCAGCGAAACTCAATCCCTTTCAAAATCTGTACGACTTTATGAATAATAAGGTGCATAATTTGTGTAAAATTTAATGAAATAAAATAGACGTCCACTGAAGCTCGACGCGACCCTCCCCCTTATACGATTTGTTATAACCCTTTCCTCTCAGTAGACGTCATTTATGGATAGTCCCAAATAGTCTGTATGATTTGTATAATGTAAGCTATACAACATTTTCAAATTACATACGAAAGCATACGTGTCGCAAACGATAAAGCTTTATTTTCGAAGTGTTTAAACAATTGAAGTGATGATAAGTGATAAGTGAGAAGGAAATATCAAATCGCACGAAGTACGAAATTTTATTTCGGTTAACAAAGAACGTTTGAATTATCATTTCCACGTTTTCTCCAATGGAATAGTCTCTACGTTGCAGCATTTCTTTTTCGTAGCGACTTTTTCGGTCGCTGCCTCGAAGTTTCCGGTGACGTAATTCCGTTTGTTTCCGACCCGCCTCGGTACATATTGCTTTTACTTCTGCGCCCGTAAATTCACCTTCTTTCCAAAAGTAAGATCTCGATCCTAACTTTCGATAAAGAATGAAATAAATTCAATTATGACAAAAGAATTAAAAGTATTCTTTGATAAAATCGATTTGTTTAAAAATATTTAATTATTAATTAAAACAACATTCCAAATTTTTTAGTATATTTAATAAGAATATTCGTCTTAAAATTCCTAAAAGTGTATTTTTGTAAATGTAATTAGTCTAATTAATTATTAATCAGATCTAACAAACATAATATAATGGATGTAACTTGAAGCAATGGACTCTTATTTTTAACTTTTTTTTTATTCCGTGGATACTAGTAGGGCCTTTTTCCATACCCATGGTTGAGTTGGGTTAATTCCATAATGGGAGTGGCAGAATCGAAGAGGGGTGCGGAACATTAAAAACTCCCGAATCTTTGCCCATGAGGATTCGATATCGCATTCCCCAGAAACATCGGCTAACGGTTTAAACGCCTTCTGTTAATTGCAGTCGAATGATTCTGTTAATGTAACTTTTTATAATTAATAAATTTACAATTAACATCATCGTATGCGATTTTTAACTCCGTAAATAATAAGGAAGTTTTTAAAGGTTTTCATTTATGTACTAAACATTGAAAAATTGAATGATTTTGTTGGATTTTTAACGCCGCTAAAAAAAAGAAATAATTTCCAGGTTTACATTAAATTTTGTCACGCAGTCAAATTTTATTTATAACATTCTCTGGTCATTTTTAGACTAACAAGTAAGAGAAGACCAATTATTAGCGCATGAATCTAGAATGTCGGCCATTAGATATTCTTTGAAGGTAAATAGTGTTCTGCATATATATACCTTACAGAAAAACATTTTACAGGATTATTGGTAATAATTCTGTATTTGTATGCAGAAATTGCAACTGATATTTCACTAATTTTGTGGGTAAACTTCAATGCCACCAGAACTAATTAATGAAATTTCAATTTTCACCGCTGTTATTCTAAAAAATGATTGTCGTCTATATTTCGATAAGTTTGAATGAAAACTGCGATAATAATTTTTTGACTAAAAAATGCTTAAAATTACAAATTATTTATTAACTTTTTTATTCTGATGTAATAGTAAAAATATGTTTTCTATAGCATGTTGAACACATGGTATAACCGTACTGATGTTCGATTATACATAAAAAGGAAATACTACTAGGATATATGAAAGACTGAGGCACACAATCTCCACAATTCCTTTTGCATATTGATTCCATGTACTGTACTGTACATCATATATTGTTCCTATATATTAAATTCGATTTATATGAATTGCAATAACTGATAAACATTAACAGATAATTACAAGATGTTTCTTATTAAATCATAAAGACTTCAGTGTACAATTTTATAGTAACATTACAATCGAATTTAATATATAGGAACAATATATGATGTACAGTACAGTACATTGAATTCAGTGTAAAATTTTATAGTAACATTACAAAAAGATATATTTTTTGAGAGACTTCTTTTGCGCTTATATGTATTATGTAGGACAATTGAAAATACAGTGGAACCCCGGTTAACGAACGTAATCCGTTCCACAAGTCCGTTCGTTAACCGAAGCAATTTTTCCCATATAAATTAATGCAAATGCAATTAATCCGTTCTAGCCGTCAGTGTTTTTGTAATTTTATTTTTAAAATGGGTTTTCTTTAATGAAAATATAGGAAAACGTGCTCATAAACAGTCGATTTAGGTTAAATTTTCGGAAAAGGGAAAAGATTTGACTGGTATAAAAACATCACACACGATCGTTAGTTTTAAAATGACAGATAGCAGAAACAACAGGCTAAATTGTGAGCGAAAGGCTTATAGGTTTATCGACAATCTCTGATCAGAGTCGACGAATAGGTGTCAAATAAATGCCTCGGAACAAACCTTTCTCGTGACCTGATCTGGTTTCGGTTTTGGAGACAAAGAAGGAAACAATCGGGAAGCGAGGAATGGGACGCAGGACTAATCGTAAGGAGACAAAGAGGAAAAACTACTATAAAAACCCCGAATCTCAAGGTCAAAACTCAGTTTTCCTAAAAATTCTATGGTGATTAATCTGTGTCGTCTTTATCTGGATTAAGCCTGAAGTCTTGCCCGCTAAAATTTGTGTTATGTCTCGCGGACCGCTCCAGTCGTTGCAGCTCTGTCACCTACCATCGCTTCTGTGACCAAGCGAACCCATCTCTTCCGCTCTGGGGCTATGACTGATCAGCTTGCACTATCGTAGGACCAGCGATACTCCACTCCTCAGTGCCGAGAGAAAATACTTAGATAAGCCATTTCCAACTACCTCAAATATATAAGCATCTTCCCGTTCTAATAAACGATTTTCACTGTAAAATACTTGTCATCTTTGTCTCTTCCGCCACCATCAACGTAGTACGAATGGACCCTAGACCATCACCGACACACGATTAACTGATTTTCCCTAAAAGTCGGCAAGCTTACAAATTTGACACAAAAACCCGTTCACTTCGTTATCCGAATTTTGTTCGTTATCCGAGACAAAATTTTTGCAAAATAATAGTTCGTTAACCGATTTGGTCGTTAACCAGGATGTTCGTTAACCGGGGTTCCACTGTACAAATAAAAACGATTAAGATATTATAATATAGCTCCACAAAAATCTTTTATTAATTATACTTTTTAATATTTAAATTTAGTAAAATACAATAAATGATTATAACCTATTATGTAATACAATATCTAATCATTTTTTTTAATTTTATACATTTATTAAATTTTAAGAAATGAATATTTTATAAAAGACTAATTAAAATAAAATTTTAAAAATATTCTTGTTAAGTTTAAGAGAATTTGCAATGATTTTTATAATTTTGGTTTCCTTGGTATTATACAGTATTTCTTAATAAGATTTTAAAATTTTATTACAAATAAATGAGTTTTAATAAAATATTTCTCTCTTCAACCAGTAAATCATTTTGGATGGTAAATTTTAAAGAAGTTCAATGTCATAACAAATTATATAGTAGTAACCACTGAACTTAGACCAGGCCACAGTTAACGTGCCATCCAATGGATAGGTTTAAAAAAAGTAGCTTTGATTCATTGCATGAATGTTTTACATAATTTAGAACAAATGTACAGGAATTAATCTTTATTTTTGCTAAATATCAACTTGATATCTTGCAAGCTTAACAAAATTGAGGCAGTCAAACTTAAGTCACAGTCATCAAAAAATGTAGATTGCTGCATCACCCCTGTCAATGAACATAGACCACTGCATGTTTAATATTTTTTTGCATCATTTTTTGCGGCCAAAACACCTTCCATACGTTTCGGCACGCCGTCAACTATTCATCTGCTGATATGGAATTCCAGATAGTTAGGATGGAAGCTTTTTAGTCCTTCAACTGTCTGAGGGCATGTTTTTTGCAGACATTTCTTCACAATGTTCCATACATTCTCAATTGGTAAAAGATTTGGCTGTTGGATGGTCAAGGAAGAACTTCTATGTTCTTTTCTGCAAGTCACTGTTTTCTTTTTCTGTTTGTATGACATGTGGCCCCATCCTGCTGGAAAATGCAGGTTCTATTTGGATATAACTTTGCTATGGATGGAAGTAAACACTGTTGTAGAATGTTAATGTATTGCTCTGAAGCAAGTGTTTCATCAACAAATGTCAACTAACCCATACCACTGTTGCTCATACACCTCCAAAGATGACACTGGCAAGAAACTTCACTGAGCGGTTTAACGACGACGGATCATTTGCTTCATTGGCAAATCGAATGACATGTTTGCTTTTCAAATTTTGATTCATCAGACCACAGAATTTCATGCCACTTTTGTTCAGACCAGGAAAGATGTTCTTTGGCTCACTGTACCCGTTTCTTCTTTTGATGTGCTGTTAGCAAAGGTTTTTCACATGCTGCATAGGACTGGAAATGCATTTCTTGCAGTCTCCTGCATATTGTTGAAACAGATACATTCTTTCCAGTTGTATCATTCCATTTTGTAGTTACATCCAATGCTGTGGCACAGCAATTGTTTTTATTATTCTTTTCAAACACCTATCATCCACTTTTGATGTTTTTTGCTGATGTCCAGCAGCTTTGATAAGTATGACTTGGCTGTGGTTAGTGTAATGAACAATAATCTGGAGCACTGTTGTCTTGCTTAGCATTAGCTCTTTACTAATAGCTTTCTCAGACATGCCATGACTGTGTTTCGCAACGATAGCATTCCTTAAATCTTCTGAAACAGCTTTTCTTCTGTCCATTGTTGACAAAATGCAAAGGTTTGTGAATAAAACTAAAAAGCACCTAGTATCATTCACAGCATCACTACAGGCTAAGATGAAGCCAAAATAATCAGTTGTTTCAGAAATACTGCAATTGTAACATTTAAATGCAAATTATCGACTCATCTATGTTCATGGACAGGAATGATGCAGAGTCTATTTTTTGATGCCTGTGACTCAAGTTTGACTTAGCTCAATTTTGTTAACTTCCAAGATATCAAGTTGATATTAGCAAAAATAAAGATTAATTACTGTATATTTATTTTAAACTAGCTATTACCGACGACTTCACCCACACAGATTTTGCAAGCAAACACCATTAATATTCAGTATTTCAACAACCATAGTAATTGTTATATAACACCTACCGCTGAGAATGATGAGAATTGCCGAGAATCAAATGAACTGTTTTCAATTTGATCAATTTTCTGGAATGTTTACAATCATTCTATAATCAAACCAATATTGCATATTGGTTTGATTATAGTATGATTGTATGAATTTAAATTTAAATTTGAATTTAAAACAGTTCAAACATTTGGTTAAAAAATTGAAATATATAAAAATATTTATAACAATGTCTTAAATGTTATCAATTTAATACACCTAAGTACTCAATGAAGACTAAACATAGTTAAAAACAAAAAAATCGCATCTAAAATAGTACAGTAGAAGCCGTTCTTCAGGTTAAGCGTTAATCCTCTCCCACTCCCTGTGGAGGGAATTTTGAAAAATCCCTTCTTAGTGTGCATTTTATTGATGTACCTTAACTATGTACCAAATTTTACCTCTTTAGGTTTAGCGGTTTGCTCTGGGAGATGATGAATCAATCAGTCAGGACAAGTAATTTTATATATTTAGATTATGTAAAACATTCATGCAAGGAAATCAAAGCTACTTTTTTTAAACCTGGATGGCATGTTAACTGTGGCCTTGTCTAAGTCCAGTGGTAACTACTGTAATTAAGAGAATCTAACAAACTTACTGTTTGCTACAGTAAAACATTGCCTTTTTTACTTTTTAATTGGTTAATTGAAAAAAACAATATAAATTTTAAAAAAACATATGTACTTTTTTAATTCAAGTAATTAAAATGGGATCTTTATCCATTTCTGATATTAGAACTGTTACATTTTCTAACTTTTTACTTAAAAGTTCAGAAAATTGTTTTAAATAACCTCTCTCACTATTGCTATGTTCACAAAGAATAACAGTTATATTTTTTTGAGTTGCATCTAAGAGAAAATGATGAGACATTTCTCCAGTTATAAATAGATCAGCCCTGGTTGATTCTAATACGCTGGAACCGGCACCAGCACAAGTGGCAATCGTTTTCACTTGAGAGTCTAATCAAATAGATTTAAAAAATATATAAAATCAATCCATAAAATTTTTCATTCATAAAAAGATTTATATTTAATTAATTAAATTACAGTAGAGCTTCACCAATCCAAACTCCGAGAGTCTGAAATTCTGGTTAATCCAAATGACCAAAAACTACCTGGATCTCTCTCTTTCTTCCAACAAACTACATGACTGTCACACTTACCTGACACTGCCAGGAATATGTGGTATGTACAAATCCTCAAAATAAATTTACATTTTTATCATCAAATAGAAAATGACAACTATCTAATGTCAATGTTGTACTGTCACACCTCCTCCTCTATAATGTCATAAAACTTATGAAAAGAGGTTGAAAATGCCTACACATTTGAACTAAGTTTGTCAGTTTATGACTGATATCATGTATTATATCAAAATGACTGATACCAAGCATTTTGACATAATACAAAGGCCTGTCTAACTACAGTAAAATGAGAAATCCCCATTAAACACATGTAAAAACTGGAGAAAAAATATTATCAGATAATCTGAATGTGTTTAGGTCCTAATTAGTTTGGATTTGTGAGGTTCTACTGTATCGTCATATATACAAGTATTCAATAACTAAAATTAACTTAAAACATACTATAAATATATAAAACATATTCTTTAAATTAGAAGAAACAATAAATGCCATTACATTTTGTTCTTTTTAAAATTCCTCAGGAATGCAACAATCTTTATGGCAGAGTCAACCTTTTATTAAAGGCCACCAGTCCACTTTAATATGCTAAATATGTCCTGGCCATTTTATTAATTAATATATATCTTTATAATTATACCATTGTCCTGGAATCTTTTAACGTTTTGCATATTGAATCAGACAAGTAGCCTCTAATAAAAGATAGACTCTTCCGTAAAGACGGTTGTGTTCTCAAGATGTTTTAAAAAGGATGTATGTGAATAAATTTATTGTTTCTTCTAATTCAGTGAATATATTTAGGCATATATATTATTGTAATCTGGCCATTTTATTAATTAATACTATAAATGTTCTGATTAGTAATCCTTTAAAGTTCACATTAATTTTCAAAATACTTTCATCTGTCAATTCTATTAGAAATGTCAGCAATTATCAATAATAATAAGTAAAGTTCTTGGAAAGATTCACATGAAGGATCCCCAAATCCTTTGCATAGAAACACAATTTATCTCTTGAGGATGATGATAATGTATTACAAAAACCAATGATTATATTCAATATTTCCTGTATAGAATTTGCATTATTATTATATTACAACAATTTTGCTTTTGAAGGCATTCCCTACATTGCTTGTTAAAGAAGAATTGTTTTTACAAGCACTGCAAGTCTGAAATGACACGGATTGAAAGAGAAGAGTTCATTGAATTACAGAGAAATAATAATAGAAGAATTGAGTATATCAAAATCCTTTAGATAAAATTTTATTCAACAATCTGTAGATAATTTTTATCATTAAAACTCAATAAAACATATACAACATACAAAAGAGGTATTAAAGGAGTACTATGCAAGTGAATGCATACTGCTCAGCCGTTTAAATTAAAAATAATCCAGCAACAAGTTGCTTAAACTTTCCTGGCAATATTTAAAACTGTGTGTGGCACCATCTGTTATATTTTATTTAAAATCACATTTTATATTATTAATTGGCAAAAAGCTTAATTTTGAGAGTAGAGATGAGTTTTATGAAAAACTGTAAATGCTAATAACAAGTCAAATCTAGGAGAAAATTATTTTACTAAAAATAGAACATTTATTACAGTACCACTTTGCTTTTTACTTTTCAACATGAATAATAAAATCATTATTGAAAATAGGGTTATTTCTGGGGATTGTAAAGGTAATTTACAATTTGGTTTAACAAATTCTGTTAAAATTTTTGTTCGTTTTATTGCATGAAACACAATTAACATTGCAACAGTGGCAATGGAAAAATTTGCTTTAATGCAAGAATTTACTTTATGGGTGATCATTTTAAGGCAAGTCGACTGTATAAGGTATAAGGCATTTCCTACAACAATAGTTTTTAATTTTTAATATAATAAAATGTATTTAAAGAATTAAAAATAGTATTACAAATATAATAAATTTAAAACTTTCTGTGATATCAATAATAAAGCATTAAATAATAAATTATAAAGGACAATGTTTTGAGACAGGAAATATATCTCAACAGTAATAGTATATTTTATATAATATTGAACAATGTCTTTTCAACCACTTCAATTATATGGGACTCAATTTCAAGTATATTTAAAAACATTTTTTGTGGACTACTTAGTTATTACTTGCTATATTTCATAATCTTTCCTTTAAAATATTAATTTTTTAATTACTATTTTAAAGCAATTAATGTGTATTAAATGAATTGTTTTTTTATTATTTTTCTTATATAATCCTACATAACATACCTAGACTGTGATTATTGCCTAAAGCAACTCTTAAATGTTTCAAACCTAAATATTGCTTAAGTGTATTAATGATATCATTAATTTTTGTAGGTTTTTTCAATATTCCAAATCTTCCCATGCCATATCCAAATGCTGGAATCTAAAATAAAAAAAAAAAAAAAACAAATACAAATTAATTATTTTCAAGAAAATGTTTTAATTAATTTAATTTTTATATTTTACTAAGTATCATACTGCTTCAAATTTAAGATTCACTTTTTTCTGTGTTTACACTAAAGATTGGATTGTATCTTAAATTTGAAGTGCTTCTTAAAGATGAAATAGTCTTCATCACTCTTCAAAATTTTTAATGTAATGGAAATTCCATAGTATTTCCTGTTTATTTTATTTTTGCAAATTACACTTTAAAAACATTTAATAATGCATTTAAATGCTATTTAATTATCTTAATTAAAAGTAAATATAGTTTAATAACACTACTTTATAGCCATTTTGTGACTTTGAGGAGAAAGGTGTTTTTTTTTTTTTTTTTTTTTTGTTAATTCCTGTGTTGAGCACAAAAACGAAGTTAAAAATTCCCTGGTACATAAAGTTTTCAAGTTGTAATCTTACAGATACAGAGACTTAAAGTTAAAATAAGATTTGTGGAGACTTAAAAGTTACTGGGACCTCAGGTTATTTTACCAAATATTGTTTTCTTTGTCTTTTGGATAGTAGCGTAACACAAAATCATTTTAAAGTAAAAGAATGGCCTCAGAGAGATGAATTTATTCCAGGTCAAGCTAACATACAGAATATACCTCTAGCTGATCCCAAAAAAGTCTTGTTAATGCCACTGCATATAAAATTTGGATTAATAGAAACCTTTGCCAAAGCACTAGCTAAAGAAGGCTGTCCAACAAATATTCCTTAAGCTTAAAGAAGCTTAAGGATTATTTGTTAGACATGAAATCAAAAAATTACTTCAGATGCACAGTTTTATAAAGAAGTGGTAACACAGTTTTTGGGCAACAGAAAAAAGAGAAAACTGTGAAAAACTTGTAGGAGAATTATTTGAAAATTACAATAAAATGGGTTGTATTGGGTTGTTTGGAAAGTAAGTTCGTTTTTTTCCATGGAAAAAAACACACTATTTTTATAATAAATAAATATTTTATTGAATTATATATCAACCATTTTGGTCAAATACCTGTTGTCATCGTTTCTGGTAGTAGCATGATTTCACATTCATAAAAGTTTTGATCGTTGCTTACAAAAAACTGATCCAAATGACTTTTGACATTCAAGTAAATGTTTTACAGTTAAAAAAAATTTGTATAGACCGGAACAAGTAATAATCTGAGTGTGCTCGATTTGGTGAATATGGTTGGTGCGATAGCAGGTCCCATCTAAGTTGTAACAGTTTCTGACAAGTTACCAATCTTGTGTAACATTTGACATTATCGTGGTAAAACACTACACCTGTTTTGTTGTTCAATTCTGGCTGCCAAAAGGCGGCCAGAATTGAACAACAAAACAGTTTGATGATATTACTCAATTTGTTTACTTGATGGCAGTACACTTTCGAATCAATTGTTAAATTGTCTGGTAAAAGCTCCAAAAAAAAATTTTCCTTAAAATCCCACCAAAGAGAGCATCTCTCTTTAAAAACATGTGAAACCCATATATCAAGCTTTGAAATGAAACCAATTTGTTCCAAGTTATCATAAATGGTTCAATTTGACAAATTTAATCTCTTAGTGATTTCACGTGTTCTTATTCGGCAGTTTGCTTCAATCAGTACCTTCATTTTGTTCTCATTGGCTTCAACTGGCCATCCAGAACGTGGTGCATCTTTAATATTGAAATTGCCCGAATGAAATTTTGTAAACCAGTTTTGGCACTGTCTTTCTGTCAATACATCTTCTCCATACACGTCACACAATTTTTTTCTTGCTTGAACAGCATTCTTACCTTTTTGGTAATAAAAGAGCAAAATATGCCAAAAATGCTGCTTTTGATCTTCCATATTTGATGGGACACAAAAAATAAACAATTGCACAAGATCAAACAAAATTTTTGACATATAAGCCTTAAAATGCCAGCTGTCAAAATATATAATGATAATACAATTTAGAATGAAAATGGCAGGAAAAATATGACTAATTCATCTAGTGGTAAAAAAAAAAAAAAAAAAAAAAAAAAAACTTTCTGAACAACCTAATAGAAGGTTCCTTAAACTAAAACTTTTACATTCGCATTTAAATTTTTCCCCCAAAAATTTGTGTGCTGTCAGTGATGAGCAAGGGGAGAGGTTCCACCAAGATATCCTAACAATAGAGCAACAGTATCAAGGCATGAGAGATCCTGGAATGATAGGAGAGTATTGTTGATCCCTCATGACAGAAAGTTTTATGTAATATAAATGAAAATCAGCATTTGCAAAAAGTTATCAACAACAGATTGAGCATAAATTTAATTTCATATGTATTTTTGTAAATAAAATAATTTTTTGGTTTGATAGAAGTTGAGTTTCTCACCTATGTTTATCTATATTTACAATAAATAAAAATAAAAATTATATTCTAGAACTCAAGATATACATGTGCTGGAAAAGTACACTTGCCATACAGTGGCATGCCGTGACATTTGATGATAGGGAAGCTGTGTTTCTCTAAGAAGCTGACATCCAGGGGCAATAAGTCAATTACATGTCAGTGATGGTCTCGGGTCCATTCGTATCGTTTATTCGATAAGCCAGTAAAAACCATACACTTCTCTAAATGAATTTTTAATATCACAATTACATTCAGAATCGCTAGTCACGATATAAGGGCTACAATTAAAAATAAAATAATAAAAACTTACTTGGTAAAATAAAACATGTGATGGATGTACCAATACATACCTGGTACAAAATATTCTTCAATTATACGAATATACTTTTAAAGAAAATTAGAATTAAATATAGCTTTGTAAAGAAACGTACATAAAAATATAAAATATTCTTTACTTTTTAAATCTTAAAACAATGCACTTAGTCAAATAGCTCTCTACAAGTGGCTAATGGATGGAATTGAAGACGGTTGCAGAACGGACTGCCAAATCCCCAGGGTGCCAATACAGGTCAATGTCAAATACCTCTTTTGTCGCATCACTAGTACACCTCAAAGGAGGCAACAGAGTTGTTGTAGATTTTAAACGTTTCTCACCATAGATGTAAAAATCTAAATATGTTAAACTTAATAGATTGTCTGTCATTTGTTTTCTAACTAATTCGTTTTAGGGCCAAGTGTCATCAGAAATTTTCATAATTTACAACTTTTTAGTCACTCTCATCGAACTGGAAAAATTTCTGTCTTTATTACATCTAATACAGTATTTCAAAGAAATCAGTCCCCACTGAACTCGGCTATAGATTGGTTCGGTTAAGCTTTTGTTTAAGTAATATTTTGGCTCTTTCGTCAGGGTTTTGTTTATGTCCCCAATTCCCTAATCGCTTAATTATTTAACTACTTCTTAAGTAGAAATAAGTCGAAACTGGTTACTTTGTACTTGAATATTTGTAGTCTTGAGAAAGAAGTGGAAAGACTAATTTTTATGACAATGGATACATAAATTGTAAATTTAAGGAAAATAAATTCTACAGCTTTTTCTGTACCTTGTGCATCTCTCTCATTCATTAAATTTAGTTGTAAATGATGCTGTCAAAGTAACGGTTAATTTTTTAATGTTATACAAGAATTGTACACGTTTTTTCTACATCCCCTTAGAGATGGGATATACAAAATCGTAATATCACTGGTTTAACATTGAAATCCGCGAGTAATATAAAATCAGAGAGCAGAATAAAAATATCAAATATTTTAATGGATTTTTTTAAAACTCCCGTCAACTATACAGAACTATCATAAAAACTTACCGGTAAATTCTTATTGGTTGTGTTAATTTGTAAATCTACTTGTGATTCGTGTAATTGGGCGAGGGCTCCCAAATACCTAGTGGACAGGTGGCTAACAGCCCAGAACCGGTCTTGGATAGAATTGAATGTGGTATATGTGTAGCATCCACCTGAGTTCCTAGGCTTCCACCGGCTATACCGGGTGAGGTTGGTGCTCTGTAAAGTGCATGCACAAATCTGGCTTTTTGGATGCTGACAATATAGCGCTTCCACTCTGCCACTAATATTCGAATGTACAATAGCAATCTTATCTTTTTTTTTTCATATGTAGTATAGAAATTTGTAATAAGATACATTATGCGGTTATAATAAAATATTGTGCGATTATTTTCATATAATTAAAATTAATATGTATTTATTTTTTAGAAAATACAAGAAAAGCAGCGCATCCACCGCTTTCAATGACGGCACGCCACTGTTGCCATATTCATAAAAAAAAATGTTTTATAGACCCCTATACACCCACTATAATATCAGTCACACAAAATTTTTTTTTGTTTCTCGAGTAGCAAGTAGTGTAATAATCCTTTCTGTTTTTTTTAATATCCTTTTTTTTTATAGTAGTATGAGTCTTAAATTTAAAGCAATATGATTTATATGTAAATTCTGCAAATAGAAAATATTAAAAATAATTTCTAATCAATATTTTATCAGAATTCCATACCTCATTAACTTTATGAATTTCAACCGTTTTTAAGACATCTGGAAACAGAGATAATATTTCTACAATTTTCATCAATGACAAATTATTTGTAGAGATCGTAATTGTTTTCATATCTTCATTAACACTGAAAATACAAAATTTTATTTCACAAATTTATAAATTCTTTATTTTGATTTTGTATTGAAAATATAAAATATTTTTAAAAATCAGAAACTTTCATTTAATATTTAAAGATAAGAAAATTTCATTCTATTTTTGTAAATATTTAAAATATAAATTTTTTATATTTTAACATTTTAATTAATTATTTATTGTTTTTCAAAGAAACTGATAAGATCCAAACTTGTCTTAAACTTTTTGGCAATTTACTATAAAGCCTTACTTAGAAAAAATAATAGTACTATAAAAACTTGATGATACTGTTGTCTTACTATCAACTGAGTGAGTCAAAATCATCATCACAATAAATTTATTTAAGAAATATAAATCAGTATTTATTCGGATTAATATTTCCAATTTTAATTCATTTCCATAACCAACAAGCAATTATTTATTGTAATATGGTCACAATGCCAGGCTACAATTTTTAATTTAATTATTTAATTTAAAATATATGCTCTACACCTCAAATTAGTAGTGGCTTGCTCCTGTACATCATACTTTTCCTTTAACAATAGAATCATGCTGATCATCTACCTAACACTTTCTGAAGAAAAATTTTTGAATTGAAATAATGTGACTTCCAGTGCAAACCAGAAGTTCATATATAGTTAATCGATTTCCATATCTGATCTTGTCTTTCATCTATCTAACTCTGTTCTTGAGACTGAGGAAAGACAGACAGATGGACAGCAGTGGGAATTTATAGGTCTACAATTTTTTCAAATTGCAGCCCAGTAACCATTTCTTATTTTAACTAAAACAAAACATCCAGCCACAATTTCTTCCACACTTCATTCATACATTTGTCAGTTAATTCTTGCCAAGCAAAGTCAATATTGCCTGTGGCATCCATGATATTATATTTTTTCCAAAATTGTACCAAATAAACATATATTTAAGGAAAGTACAGCTCTAACAACAAATTGCCACCTTTTGCCAATTGGTTTGTGTTCGAGAACAATTGTATTATATACAAATCAATGAAATGCTGCGATAATTTGAATCAGCATAAATTTTGAGCTGTTTTTAGGCTTCTAGCAGACTGTGTTATATCAAATCAGTATTAATTGAAAAAGAGCTAAATGAGCTCTTACTGTACAATATTTTCCCATGTTATACACACAACAGCTGGGAAAGTAAATGCATTCTGAACTGTAACTTGCAAATATTTCTAATATCTGTGTAATTTTAAACAAACATATTTATGCAAAAAAATATCTAAAACTGTATAAATTAAAATAATCACTGAGAATAAAATCAAAATAGCTAAATTACATCAACATCATCTTTCTAATTTTTACTGACAAGTGAGTGAAACTATTTCTAAATACAGGTATCCCTTATACAACACAGTACTTCTACAACACTGTTTTGCTCTAACACTGTTTAAAAGTTTGGGATATCCCGTACAACGTGACTTCCGCTTTCACTCTAACATGGTTTTGGAAATCTTCCATACAAAATTCCACAATTTTTAAGTGTAAACTCCATTATTTGACATTTCTTTAATTCAAGTAAGCACGTGTGCCATCTCAAATTTGCCCAGAGATTTTAGAATATTGAAATTTTCAATTTCTTCTGTGCCTTTTGTCAGGTTTACTTTAATGAAAAGTGATAGTACAATTTCTTCTTCCTTGTCGAAGCTTTCCTATCAACCAGGTGTTGTCGTCATTGCTTTCCGACTTTAGGCCTTAAGACTTCACTATGTTTTTTTTTTATATATTAAATAAAATTTAGTAAACACAAAGATTAAACATTTTAAGTAAGTGTTATTAATCTTTCTTCAACTGTAGGTAAATAATCAATCATAAAAATGATGAATGAAATACAGTGATATCTCAGTACTCAAACTGTTCCCAACTTGAACAATTCATTATTCAAACACAAATTCTGGGGAAAAAAATTCACTCTATACCCGACTGAACAAACACAATTTGCTAGAACAAATTTTCGATTAATAACATATTTTTATTTTGTCATCCATTTATGATAAAAATAAAAAAATGAAGACATTACTGATATTTATGATCAAGATCAACAAAAACGTTCAGAAGATGACGATACTTTGTAAAAAGAAAATGTTCTTGTTTAACTAAAATTAATATTAATGCGTAATCCAATACTTTTAATTGTAATTGTTAATTAATTATCGATTGCTTTAATAAACGTATTTCTTATAGTAACAAAAGAAAATAGTATACTTTTGTTAACTTCTGGAACATATCTCTGTGTTTTGCACTAGTCCTTTGTTTCGTATAGCATGGACACAGCACTTTTTCAGAACGTATCTACCCCTTTTTTTTACAAGAGATACCTGTATATAAAAAACTGACAGGATACTTACAACTTATTCAAACATTCAAACACAGCAGACTATTTTCTGATATCTATTACTATATTAATAAAATCTTTAACAGTGACAAAAGAAAAATAATAAATCATTCCAATTACATTCAGTATTAAAGAGAAATTTAAATAATGAAAAAATATAAATTTGCCATATTTAAGAAGATATGAAGACAATGGGAAATGTTCATCCATTTCCATTAAATATTTTCTGGAATTTATTATGGTTGTCTTTATCTTCTAGAGATATATTTTCTAATTTTTGAGTAATTTTTAGTAATTGTTATAGTCAATTTGCCAAAACTAATATGGCTGGACTACATTATCTAAGTGTAATGCATTCTTGAAAATGATTTGAATATTGAGAATTTGAATATCAAAAAAATGTTTTCAATTATTTCTTACAGGAAAAGTTTTAATTTGTCTAATTTGTTCCAAGTTCATTCAAATAATCCTAATCAACTTCCCCAAGTGGCATTAAACAAGCAAAAGAAAAAAAAAAAAAACCTATTTATCTGTAAATCCATAATTTTAGCCCATATTAAACATTACAAACTTCAATTAACTTATTAACAAATGATTTTATAAACAAGACTATGTCTTTGTTGTCTTCGAAACCGTGTTTTTTGAATACATTGGACTTCGAACTCGCATTTGAGTTATAAATAAACACTTGGCTTTATTTCCATCATTTTAGTTGATTTCAACTAAAATGATGGAAATAAAGCCAAGTGTTTATTTATAACTCAAATGCGAGTTCGAAGTCCAATGTATTCAAAAAACACGGTTTCGAAGACAACAAAGACATAGTCTTGTTTATAAAATCATTTGTTAATAAGTTAATTGAAGTTTGTAATGTTTAATATGGGCTAAAATTATGGATTTACAGATAAATAGGTTTTTTTTTTTTTTCTTTTGCTTGTTTAATGCCACTTGGGGAAGTTGATTAGGATTATTTGAATGAACTTGGAACAAATTAGACAAATTAAAACTTTTCCTGTAAGAAATAATTGAAAACATTTTTTTGATATTCAAATTCTCAATATTCAAATCATTTTCAAGAATGCATTACACTTAGATAATGTAGTCCAGCCATATTAGTTTTGGCAAATTGACTATAACAATTACTAAAAATTACTCAAAAATTAGAAAATATATCTCTAGAAGATAAAGACAACCATAATAAATTCCAGAAAATATTTAATGGAAATGGATGAACATTTCCCATTGTCTTCATATCTTCTTAAATATGGCAAATTTATATTTTTTCATTATTTAAATTTCTCTTTAATACTGAATGTAATTGGAATGATTTATTATTTTTCTTTTGTCACTGTTAAAGATTTTATTAATATAGTAATAGATATCAGAAAATAGTCTGCTGTGTTTGAATGTTTGAATAAGTTGTAAGTATCCTGTCAGTTTTTTATATACAGGTATCTCTTGTAAAAAAAAGGGGTAGATACGTTCTGAAAAAGTGCTGTGTCCATGCTATACGAAACAAAGGACTAGTGCAAAACACAGAGATATGTTCCAGAAGTTAACAAAAGTATACTATTTTCTTTTGTTACTATAAGAAATACGTTTATTAAAGCAATCGATAATTAATTAACAATTACAATTAAAAGTATTGGATTACGCATTAATATTAATTTTAGTTAAACAAGAACATTTTCTTTTTACAAAGTATCGTCATCTTCTGAACGTTTTTGTTGATCTTGATCATAAATATCAGTAATGTCTTCATTTTTTTATTTTTATCATAAATGGATGACAAAATAAAAATATGTTATTAATCGAAAATTTGTTCTAGCAAATTGTGTTTGTTCAGTCGGGTATAGAGTGAATTTTTTTCCCCAGAATTTGTGTTTGAATAATGAATTGTTCAAGTTGGGAACAGTTTGAGTACTGAGATATCACTGTATTTCATTCATCATTTTTATGATTGATTATTTACCTACAGTTGAAGAAAGATTAATAACACTTACTTAAAATGTTTAATCTTTGTGTTTACTAAATTTTATTTAATATATAAAAAAAAAACATAGTGAAGTCTTAAGGCCTAAAGTCGGAAAGCAATGACGACAACACCTGGTTGATAGGAAAGCTTCGACAAGGAAGAAGAAATTGTACTATCACTTTTCATTAAAGTAAACCTGACAAAAGGCACAGAAGAAATTGAAAATTTCAATATTCTAAAATCTCTGGGCAAATTTGAGATGGCACACGTGCTTACTTGAATTAAAGAAATGTCAAATAATGGAGTTTACACTTAAAAATTGTGGAATTTTGTATGGAAGATTTCCAAAACCATGTTAGAGTGAAAGCGGAAGTCACGTTGTACGGGATATCCCAAACTTTTAAACAGTGTTAGAGCAAAACAGTGTTGTAGAAGTACTGTGTTGTATAAGGGATACCTGTATTTAGAAATAGTTTCACTCACTTGTCAGTAAAAATTAGAAAGATGATGTTGATGTAATTTAGCTATTTTGATTTTATTCTCAGTGATTATTTTAATTTATACAGTTTTAGATATTTTTTTGCATAAATATGTTTGTTTAAAATTACACAGATATTAGAAATATTTGCAAGTTACAGTTCAGAATGCATTTACTTTCCCAGCTGTTGTGTGTATAACATGGGAAAATATTGTACAGTAAGAGCTCATTTAGCTCTTTTTCAATTAATACTGATTTGATATAACACAGTCTGCTAGAAGCCTAAAAACAGCTCAAAATTTATGCTGATTCAAATTATCGCAGCATTTCATTGATTTGTATATAATACAATTGTTCTCGAACACAAACCAATTGGCAAAAGGTGGCAATTTGTTGTTAGAGCTGTACTTTCCTTAAATATATGTTTATTTGGTACAATTTTGGAAAAAATATAATATCATGGATGCCACAGGCAATATTGACTTTGCTTGGCAAGAATTAACTGACAAATGTATGAATGAAGTGTGGAAGAAATTGTGGCTGGATGTTTTGTTTTAGTTAAAATAAGAAATGGTTACTGGGCTGCAATTTGAAAAAATTGTAGACCTATAAATTCCCACTGCTGTCCATCTGTCTGTCTTTCCTCAGTCTCAAGAACAGAGTTAGATAGATGAAAGACAAGATCAGANCTTTTTGTTACCAGCATAGAGGTATGAAGGAGTACATGTCGAGAGTTGATATTTAGCACAGAGTATTAGGTGCCCAAATCATTTGCGCATAAAAAATCCAGACTCGTAGATAGTCGGGGGACCGAGAATCGAGTCAAAATAAAATACAAAATGGCGATCCTCTTCTACAAACAGGCAAAACAGCCACCTCACCCCACCGAAGTCAGGTAGGGGAGAGTACCACCCACAAGTCATTCTAAAAAGTGAACTCTGACCTTAGGACTGAATACGTAGTTTCTTCTATGTTAAATAAAATTTGTAATCTAATTTTGTAAATTTGGGAGTGCTTCAAATATGACGTTAAAACAATTTTATGTCGTTACAAGTGGGTTTTTTTTAACATTATCTAGTATAGCAAAATCGTAGGACCAATAAAAATTTGACGTTATATTAGGGTTGTCGTTACATTCGATCAGGTTAAACTGTATATTGTTTGTGCAAAATAAAAAAATAATTTTGGACGATACAATAGCCACGATTATTTTTTTCAAAAACGGGAACTTTTCGTTACGCATCGACAAGAATTCAACCCGGACTGACACGCAATGGAGAGAAATCTTGAAATTAGATAGGTTAATTTCATTGAAGATGCATTGTGGACGATCTCGTGGTCATGGCTGGCGAAAGTTTGAATGATTGCGCCCAAAAGCAGCAATATCAAAGAAGATAGGAGAATGAGAACGAGACCTGCCTTGAGCATCAAAGTGATTCCGTCTCTGAGATATACTCTTGTCCCAAATATGGTTTTGCTGTTTTACTTGTTTTAAACTCTTTCCACTCTGTGGGCACTAAGAGGGCCTTTCTTCAAGTTCATCTTGGGTTTAGCCAAGCCCACAATAGGGTCAAATAATACTGGGACAGAACTCCTCCCAAAATTAACAAAAATTATTGAATTTCATAATAAAGAACAATGAAATATATGAAAATTTTAATAGTTAATATATCTAAAAGTTAGATCATTTTTTAGCTAGAATTATGCTAATTTTACATATTATTTTAGAATTTGGCATGAAAATAGGCAATAAGTGACCATCTTAAGTTAAGGTTAATAACTAGTAATTAATTTTGAATTTAATTAAATAAGTCAACATTTTTCATTAAGATTAACTTACAACATTTAAGTCAAATTCCATAATTTAATTAATTAAAATTAGCTCAACTGTAGCTCAAAAATAAACTGATTTTTAGATGTATAATTGACTACAAATCAGATTAATTTATTATATATTTATATTAAAACTTTATTGTTTACCTTAGGGTAGACATTGATGTATCTTGTATCAACATTAGTTTTTCTTCAATATTACTATCTGTTGGAAAAGTTATTTTGACATGATGAGAAAATTTGGAGTACAGCATATAACTTTGATGAATTGGCTTAATAGAATCCATATCTAGTAAAAATAAATAATATCAAGAATCAATTTAAAGTAATTATTTGAATATAAGCTGGAAAACTGCCGATAAATAACTATGATTAACTCTAGTTATTTTTAAAGTTGTATCCTCTATATCTAGATGAAATAATGCAGCTTAAAACACAATACAGACATACAAGATGATGTGAAACTTTACATGAAAAAACTAAATTTGAATCAGTCAAAAATTTATAAATATAAACCTTTTACAATAAGATAAAATGTCTGACAGTTTAAGTTTTCTTTTACTGCATTTAATGTTACAAAAATATAATTTTAATTAGATAAAAAATATATATTTTTTCCTTTTGTGAGTTTTCTTTGACAATTGGAAGAAGGAAAACTGCTTTATACAACAATTTATTAATATTACAGAAGAAGAACTGTAGAATTTAAAGTGGAAACTACTGGAATATTAACATGCATTACTATAACAAAAAACATTTTATAACATGTATTTACCTGTTATAAAATACCACTTATTCACTTTCACTGTTTTGGAATACTGCTTTTGATGACCAATCTTTCCTTGTAGGCTACTTTGGTTACCAAAAATTTAAAAAACTCCCCTTTAAAAACAACAAAAAATATTTGATTGAAAGCATAAACACTTTTAAAATCACTTGAATGGTCAGTTATATCCGACAATGATGAAAGTGAATAAACGTAACTGCTTTTTCGATAGACTCGGTCTTCAAATTTAATGTTATGATTCATCTCGCGCAAGAGAGAATGGTAGTCTATTATGGAGATATAGAATTAGAATACTGTTAGAATAAAAATGTGAAATCTCTAATGAAAAATAATTTATAAATTTTTATTTTAGAAACTATTTTTAAGTAAATAAAAATGTAGAATAAAAAAAATTTATTTAAAAAAATAATTGCTATATGCTATTATATAGTTCAAACTGTATTTGTAGTAATCTCAATCTATGATACTAAATCTATAGGGAAAGAGGGGTATAAACAGAAAAACAATAAAAACATCATGAAACAGATAATGCTCGCTAGCTTTATTTCCTTGTCCTCCTGCTTATACAACTATTCATTTTAATGTGGCATCATAACATCATCTTGAAAGCATTTTAAATATTGAAAATATGTTTAAATTAAACAGCTGTTACCAGCAAAACTCGTTTGAACTGATGTGACCATTGAGAAGTGTAGGCGTAAGCATTATTGATACATAATGCATCACATGGTCTACTTGCAATGGATTTTTTGAATGTTTTGAACAATAAATGTAAGGTGCCATCAATTCAAAGATGCACTACCTCAGATAAGTAAAATGGGTAAAAAAGAATGCATTTCAGGGTCAGTATGGAAATGCTTGCTGATTGGTTGTTCAGTTGTAATGAATAACATCATTGGTAGTTGATCGGTCACTCAGTAACCCACCCTTAAAGACTGACAAGTCTGGTACCAACTGGTAAATCATCAAAAACTTTGATGTTTTAGAATGACACCCAGTCTAAATGGTTGAACCAGTAAGCATTTCCAAACAGACCCTTTCAATCAAGGAAATATAATTAGAAATACAGAAATATTTATGTACACCTGTTGTAATAAAATTTTTTATTTTCAAATGATTATTTAATAACCCATTTTAAAACAGGATATTTAAAATTGTAAAATTAATAATAATAATGAAAAACATTACTTACCAAAGCACTGAATCAACCAATCATTTACACCTTTTGCAACGGCATCAAAAGCTGTATGAGGGGAATATACACTTATGTACGATTGTATGCATTTAATTATCAAATTTTCTTTCCAATTTTTACACGTTAAAGATTTTAAAGGTTTAAAAATAGGAGGATGATAAGATACAATTAAATCAATTTTCTTCTCTACAGCTTCCAATAAAACACTTTCAGTTAAATCGTTCGTCAAAAGTATTTTATTCACCTAATGAAAACAAATTTAAATTTATAAATATACGTTCATAAATTTCTTTAAATTGAAATTTAAAGAATTCAAAAATTAAATGAAATTTTAATGGATCTTTGATAACTTGCAATATAGTAATTTGACAAATTTATCATTCAATTTCTTATATGATGACTAATAAGGATTTGAATAATAAATGACAATTTGTCATTTTGATCAGTTTATCAAATATCTATCTTAATTTGGGATATTTTAAAGTTAGAAAATTTTCTGTAGATTAACTGATCTTAAACTTTTATTGTTCCTCTTACTAAATGTTAATCAAAACTCTTGAAACTATTACTTTAGAATCCTGCAAGAACATCAAAAAATTAAAAGATACTAAAAATATTTGACAGTAATAATCCACATAATATAGAATGAAAATATATTTCACCACCAAGAAACCAAAATATCCTAAATGAGAAAATATTGTTTGAATTTATTGTTCTTATAATGTGTCCAATGGATGATCATTTAAAAGAACCAAAAATGTTAGCAATTTTGTGTTAATTTTAATATATTGCCAAATTTTAAAAGGTTATAGTTATATCTTTTTTTTAAAACTAGTTCTGTTTCATTGTATTTAACTTTAGTTATCATACAAATTGCAAAATTTTGGCTTCTCTATGATAATTACATTTTCTATTACATAAAATTAGACTAAATGTTAGATATTTTTAACTATTTAACTCTGTCTGCCCTATTTTTTATAGAGAACCTTTTTTCAAATTCATCATGGATTTAGCCCAACTTGCAATCAGACAATCCAAGTGAAAAGAGACAGGGTCCAACATATCTGGGTGAATCCATCCATAAAAATTTTTTAACCCGCTAGGTAGTCAATTTTATCTCCTCTGTAGATAACAGAGGAAATAAAATTGCTAGTAATTATGTTGATTTATTATGTATAGCACTAGTTATTGAATATTTCTGTCTTCTGTTTAAATATATACACATAAATATAACTTATACAGTATTACTCTGCAAGTTAATCAAGTCATAATTTTATATATATAACTAACTTCAATTCAACTGTTCATCTTTATTTTGAAAAGAAAATATGTAATGCAAATTATCATAACTTACAAGTAACAATAATAACTATAAAGATACATGCAGTTAATACAGAAAACGAAATGCAGTACATTGCAATTACTAGATATTTACTTTAAGTTTAAACTTTCAGATTTCATCAAATTGAATTTTAAATATTGTCCTGTAAGAATAAAATCAATCATCACTGTTAATTTTAAATGGAGAAGGTTTCTAATAATTCTTAATTTGAATTCCATATCTACAAACTTATTTATCATCATTAAAATAAATAGGCTTGTAGAAACATAAATGCAATGATTAAATGTAATTACAAATCTTAACATGGAAGGATACCAAAATCTTCAAACCGTATAAGTTTATAAGCCGCGATTTAACGCCAAGATTCTCAAGAAATAGATGCATGATAATAAATTTACTTCAACTTGCAAAACAAATTCTAGATTATATCAGATTTTACAAAACAAATAAATATATATATAAATATCTCAATAATCAACCAACAGCTAAATTAATTGTTTGGCTGTTGGTTGGTTGATTATAAATAAATATGTAATGATCACAAAATCCCTATGCACGATAATGTGTCTAAGTTAGAGTTTTGTTTTTGGTTGGGCTTCAATATGATAAACATCAGGGAGTATATGATAGAAGAGAGAAAGAGAGAGTGATTATTTGTGTTTGGGATTACAACTTAAAATCTGATAATTTATTTGTCCCACGAAAGAAAAAATTTCAACACTTTACAACAGCCAAAGATCCTAAAATTAATTAGCAAGAATTGTTTTGACTTCCAACCGTCAACATAGACAACATCTGGAATGCAAGAGAAAATTAAAATCCATGCAAACAACAAAAAGTTCACACAGAACTACGAACTCAAAGTCTCTACGTGCGCTTATTTAGCACACGCGGAGATTTCGAGTCACTCGCACATACCGTACACACACGATATACGAGCCATTGTACACGAAAGCAATTTAAGTCTATTTATTTTTAAATCGAGATATTTAAAGGTTTGCATTCCTATTGATTCGAAAACATCAGTAACCAAAATGTAGGTATTGTTTCTGATTTTAAATGTCTTATATTTCATAAAAGATTACATAGAATTGTAACTAATGTCTCAATTAACTAATTTTTTAAAAAATGGACTTAAACCACTTTAATTTGCAATGGCTCATACATCCAAAACAGAAAAAATGCATTCATAGCCATGTAATGTGAATAAAATTAGAAGAGATACTCTTCAGCACGTTTATACCTGACTATTTTTAGAAGATTCAACCAAAAGCCCTACATTGTCCCATTTTTCTGCTAATGAAAGTGGAGCTATGTTTTCTAATTCGCGAACAACACTCGACAATTCCATATTTCTCTTCTGGATAATAAATCTTGGCCCTGAAAAAAGTTTTCCTTTAGACGCAATACGTAAAGCTTTTAACCACATAATTCTTAATTATGATTATCTAATATTTGCATAAATGTTAATCTGCACCGAAACAACCAACCTTCGCTCGATTACCCCCATTAATTCATTATGACATATTTAAATGATTTCAACCACGTGAAGACAAATACCGTAATACACAACCACGTGGACACCTTTTAAAAAATTCTGTTATAGCCAAACGAACGTAAAAAATAGCCAAAAAATAACTCGCGTTTAATAATATAAAGTGAAAATTTTTATTAAGATTTAATTTTTTTATTATTTCGCCCCGTGAGCAATAAGAGAGCGTTTTAATAGCACTTTCTAGTTACGTTTTTTACGACCAGATGGCCGAGCGGTTAACACGGCAGCTTACCGCTCTAGGGAACCGAATCCGGACGGATCGAAAATCTGGAAAATTTTTGGAGGTGGCCCGTCCAGATATGTCGGGCCCCGTCCCTCGTCGGTGGCCTCCCTTGTAAGCTGGCTAAAAAAACCATTTTAGGCCCTCGGGACAAAAAATGTTAAAAAAACGATGCGAACAATCATTTCAGGTTTACTTGTTGGTCCCGCCTGTTTGACTTATTTCGTTTATAATTTTTGAAGATTAATAATAACGAATGAAATTTGATTCAATAATCTAGTGTCTTATATCAGGAGTGACGGTAGTGACTCCCCGGCAAGTAAAAAAGTCGCTAACTGACTACATGTACAGGAATCGGAGTTTTCGATTTTCGGAGGTCGATTTTTCCGCCCCCAAACACCTATAGTAATTTCGAATATCTCGTGTCGTTCGAAGGAGAATTATTTTCTTAGGTAGTGTGCAAAATTTCAAGATTTTGTATAAAGCGGTTGCCGAAATATAAGCAATCGAAAAGTGAAAAAAATTTGCAAAAAAGCCGTATTTTCTTCTCATTTTTCTTCATTCGGCACTGCAGACGCTCGTAGAGAGAAACCACTGGGTCCAGAATGCTCAAATTTTAAACTTAAGCCATTTTCGTCATCAGTGAAATGCTGGCCAAACTTCCGGATCGATAGGTCAAAGTTCACGGGGTTTTCCATGGAGCTATTTCGGTTTTACGGCTTAATTTTATGCTTATAAGAAGAAAATTGCACGGAAACGAATGAATTTTATTCAAAATGTTACTCAGAATTACAAAAGCTGTAATTTAAGCCAATTAAAATTTTTTATAACGATTTTCCTAAACGGCGTTCAGTAACACGATGATAATTTAAAATATATTTCGATATAAACATAAATGACGTTATCGTTTTGTTACATCGTCGTTTATAACATCGAAGTTGACGGCAATTTCCTCTATAGCGATTTTGCTAAATTGTATGATAATAGATCTACGGTAACATATAAATGGACCATCTATATTCATCCTGAACAGTTTGTAGTTATCTATCCTTTCCAAATGTTTCGGCCCAGGCAGTTCTATCACACGGTGTGGTAATCACCTACCACAAATCCCTCCGTTCCATCTATAAGGAGATAGCCCGATGTCTTTTACCTCTCCACAATGGACATTCTGCACCATGTAAATGCAGAAGATAATTTATTTATCAAATTCCGGACACAAGAAAATGATTACATTTATTTATTGGATCCGATTAATAATTAATTAGACTACATTTACAATGATACATTTTTAGGAATTTTAAGACGAATATTCTTATTAAATATACTAAAAAATTTGGAATGTTGTTTTAATAATTAAATATTTTTAAACATATCGATTTTATCAAAGAATACTTTTAATTCTTTTGTCATAATTGAATTTATTTCGTTCTTAATCGAAAGCTAGGATTTCTCTTCTGTCTGTCGCAAAATGAGTGGAGAACGTCTTCGGATGAATATGAACACAATTCTGATAAATCCAATCCACTAAAGACAATTTTTGAAGAAAAAAAATAGAGAAAATGGAATTTAAATTAAAACAACGACTACGTAATTTAGAGAGACTTCGAACATCCAGATCCGAATTGAATAACAAAGTTCGGGCACTTCGTGAAGAACCGAACCGAAATTGGTTCCCGAACTAGACGATGGCTTAGCATTAGTCAGATTTAGTACAAATGCGAGACTGGTGGTTCCCGCCAGCGAATTTACAGATCTAGAAGCCGCCAAACCCAACGAGAGTGGTCCAAGAGATTTCTGACGCGCTTCCACCCAAACAGAATCTTCCAGTAAAATTTAACGTGTCGGAACGTCTTCCGGTCTTCGTGATCGCGAGAAGGCTTACATAAACAGATTCGAGAAATTAGAGAATGCGTAGAACTTCCTCTTAAACATCCGGAATTATTCGAGAGACTCGACAACTCTATGGCTCCCTGTACGAGAAAGATTCTGCTAGCAACAAAAACGCGCGTTGATCAGAGCCGCCGGCACAGAACGTAGAGACTATTTCATTGGAGAAAATGTGGAAATGATAATTCAAACGTTCTTTGTTAACCGAAATAAGATTTCGTACTTCGCGCGATTTGATATTTCCTTGTAAAATTATTCTTATCACTTCAATTGTATAAAGACTTGGAAAATAAAACTTTATCGTTTGCGACACGTATGCTTTCGTATGTAATTTGAAAACGTTCTTGTATACCTTACGCAAATTATACAGAGTATTGTCTTCGAAATTTAAGTATTTAATCTAAAAAGATTTTGAAAGACACTATAGTTCTTTGCTTGTACAATTGTAAATTTTGAAGATTTTATCGAAGAATGTAAAAAAAAAAAAACACCCGGGGCTGTAGCTTGTACAATATATGTGACGTGATATATCAATTAACACGAATCGCCAACACGTTAACCATACCAGTCATAATTACTCCCATTACCGGCGTGTATCCCCTCGAATATGGAGCTTCAACTGTACTTTAATAAACGAAAATTTTCTAAACTTTCGAATTATTATACCGAGAGAAATGAGACATTGGTGATTAAACAATTTTAATCGTCCCGCATTTATCTATACAATAGTAAATTATTAGTGACGTTATTTCGAATGATTACATTACTTCTTCGCAAATGATGGCAATAAAACTACTGATAGGAATGCTTTTTTTGTAGTTTAAAATATACATTTATTGTCTTAATTTTTCAGAATTTACTTGTGATATCGAACACAGAAACAGAATTTGTCTTTTAGAATAAAAATTGCGTTTAATTTTACTACTGTAATAGACTTTTACCACGTAAATTTCGTTTAATTTCTTTTTTGTTTTTGAAAAATATACAGGTTAGACCTTGAAAGGTATTCAAAAATTCTTCGGTCTTTTTCCCGTGAAGTTAAGCAGATTTTTTTAAAAATTCCAAACACGTGTTAATTTATTCTAATGTCAAAAGATGGCGCGATATTCTCGTCTATCTATTAAAAAATGAATTCAATTGACATATTTTCTTTTATTTTTGGTTCTTTCGCTTTGTGAGCGGTAAGAAAGCCTTTTTTCCCTGTACCTATGGCGACTCGGCAAAGATTTTTCTCTCCAGAGATTAGAATTTCGCAAGCAGTGTAAGCAAACACTAGTAAAATCTATGCTCATAAAATTAAATAAACTCGTGCTTACAAGTACATGAGGCCCTGCTAAGCCGAGTGATGCCGAAGCGTCAGAAATTGTGTTAGGTCCTTTATAGAACCAATGTTATACCGTTTAATTAATTTTTCTTATAGACTTCCGCCCTTTAGGGTAACTGACTAAGGATTGATGTAATCTTCTATGTGTTTTACCAATTAGTAAATGACGCCACTAAAGATATTTCGATCTCTCCCCTTTTTGTACAAAGTATATAAGTTATCTTTGTCGATGAAATTCATCAAATGCTTTCGTTAGAGGAAGTCTGCCCATTACCGCACGCGAGCCTGAAAAGCCACTTACATGTTTCTGCTTTGGAAGATGTGGTAACCCATCAGTGTGCCACATTCTTTACGTTGGTATAGAGAGGTTTCGAGGTCGCAATTTACGTGATAAAACGCACGTTTGTTCCGTCCCTTCGCCATGTTTGTGATCTAGCTTCCGCTTGCTTAGCTTGCATGTGGTTTGTTATTTGACAGGTTGGCAGCCCTTTTTTTCAATTTAAACTTAATAAAACTGGAGTATTTTTATATCACGGACAAAATTAAGAAAGATGCTTTTCTGGCGGATTATTATCGCAGTCTGACAAGACAAGCTGCTGCTTTATACAAAGAGAAAGTTTCATTATATCAAGGGTGTCGATCCATACGAAGCCAGCATCTTCGTTGTAGATCAATTCTACAAATTCTACAATGGTGGCATCATTTTGACGACAAATTACTACACTCTTTCACAAATGAAAGCTTACAAATCTTTAAAGGCCCATAACTATCTTACAAGTGGCCGTGTTTATCCCGATTACGTGCTCTTTCATAATACTCCCGATATGCAATTTGGATTGTAGTCACTCATACTCCATGTATAATGTTGGCATCTAGTCTGGCGATGACTCATAAAATGAGTTTTCCTTTGAGATAAAAGAAGTTTTTCAATAATATATTATTATTAAATAAAAAGAACTTATCATTATGGTACGTTATATATAAATAATAAATAAGAATTTGTTAGAAACAACTTAAAGGTTATTATGTAATGTATTTGTTACTAATGAAAAAAATCGTTGTAAAAAGTAACATCTTGAAGAAATGTTAATGTTTCTCACCAAAATAACCTAACTTGGCTTTTTGTAAATGAACAATGGAAATTATTGGTTTATATCTTAAAAAATACACACACTTTTATTTATGTAAATTAGACTGGAAGGACAACTGGGGGTTCAAAATTCATTTCTAATTCTTCATCCGCTAAGCGATTAACTTTGCTTGATACTTTAATATTAATTCTACTGTATATTTATTACAAGCAGAGACTAAAAAACAAACTGAAAGATGAAAAATAAAGTCAGAACACAATCATTATCTATTCAAACTAAAACTAAAATTTATTTTGTCGGTATTAACAAAGGGATTTATGCAACCGACTTGAACACATTTTATTACACTCATGCAAAAGTTAATCTAATCATTTAGTGATAACTAGTAATTAAATGTTATTGCTTACCTAAAATGAAATGTTTCTGACAAACTCTTGTATTGATATTCACTTTATCCACATTGAAATTTTTCTGGTTAATTCTCCAGAGCCATGCAAATTGCCTTTGTCGTGAAAG